AATAACTCCTCACCATGAAAACATCTGATATTTGGAGCTTTTCAAAAATAGACTGGACAAGCACTTGACTGGGATGGCATAAAGCTCCTGCCATTTTGGACTAGAAGACCCCCCTAAGGTCCCATCAGGCCCTATGATTCTATGCTCTGTGCTGTAATAAACACATTGTCATGGTTCCGACAGATGAAACTCTTCAAAGAACTTCGAGGCATTGTTTACCTTAAAGAATTTTTATTCGAGAAGCGTAACATCGGCACTAAAATAATCGAAATCAAAAACTGAATTCCCCTCCCCTGGGCACATAGTATCAAAGCACAATTCCCTCCTTCAATTGACAGTCATAAATCACGTTCCCCAATTAGCTTGAAGTGTGGGCTTCCTCTCCAGTTCTCCAGCCTGCCAATTCCTTATCAGCGCTGGTTACAATAACCTTGCTTCTCACGCTAGGCCTGGTGTTATTATGTCTAGCTGGACTCTCGTTCACATCCCCCCTCCCAGCATCTTCTAACTCTAAAAGCAAAAGGTAAAAAATGGCTACATCTCCATTTGTTGTCAGTGCAGAAACATTCGATGTTAGCAGCGTTGACACACATTCCCCTTAAAGTATGTCACAAATAATAATAATAATAATAATAATAATAATAATAATAATAATAATAATAATAATAATAATAATAATAATAATAATAATAATAAAGTTGGAAGGGACCTTGGAGATCATCGAGTCCAACCCCCTGCTCAGGCAGGAAACCCTACACCATTTCGGACAAAGGGCTGTCCAGTCTCTTTTTAAAAACCTACAGTGTTGGAGCATTCACCGCTTCTGGAGGCAGGTTGTTCCACTGGTTAATTGTTCTAACTGTCAGGAAGTTTCTCCTTAGTTCTAGATTGCTTCTCTCCTTGGTTAGTTTCCATCCGTTGCTTCTTGTCCTGCCTTCAGGCGCCTTGGAGAATAACTTGACTCCCTCTTCTTTGGGGCAGCCCCTGAGATATTGGAACACGGCTATCATGTCCATGTTCATTGTTTTGGCAGCAACCAATTAATATGGTCCGACCTGTGAAAACTGTCCTAAATTCAGCGCTTTTTTTCTAAAAAAAAAAAAAAAAAAAAAAAGGTGCCGGAACTCACACACATCATACAACCCGTCTTGCCTACCCTCCAAGGTTCCATCCAAAAAAGGTGCTGGAATTCTGTTCTGGGCGTTCTATGTGAAAAAAAGCCCTGCCTAAATCATGAGTTCTTCTGGCCACAGACCACTTTGTCACCCTCTTGATATCCTGAAGACAGCTTTTGACCTCGTTTCCCATTTTGGCAACCTCTTCGCAGTGGATAAAGTTACAATAGGCTTCTTCTAGGAGTGCCCTTTCCAGGCCATTAAATAATTTAAATTCCACGTTAGGCTTCAGAGGTGGTGCCTGGGGCAGGCTATTGTCTTAAAGAACATGCCTCCCTCTGAATTTAAAAAGCTGCCAAATTGCACAAAGATCTAGCAACGCGAGATGGCGTAATCCATTCTTAAAAGTGTGCTCTGGAAGCCACGGATTGTTCAAATTTGGGATTAGGCTGTGCGGGGGCTTGCAGGGCGCAGAAGAGGATTAAAGGCCTGTGGGATTTTGGGGGGGGGTGTTTGTGGAGGGGTTTAACTGTTGTCAGAAGTGGCTTAGCTAGCGTCAAAGAGGGCCAAGCCTTTCGGAGGATTAGAGGCAGGAGGTGCAGGGGGCGGAATGAAGGAAGGGACCCCAGTTATTGACAGCTAAGTTCCAGCATCCCTGTAAACATTTCGGAGGCTAAAGGATGCCCAAAAAAAGAAGTGTAGGTAGTCCTCAATTTACAACAGTTCATTTAGTGACCGTGCAAAGTTACAACGGCACTGATAAAAGAGACGGTTGCAGCATACGACCGTTGCAGCATCTCCATGGTCATGTGATCAAAATTCAGACACATTGCAACCAACTCATTCAGACACATTGCAGACACATTGCAACCAACTCATATTTATGACGGTCGCAGTATCCCGGGGTCAGGTGATCCCCTTTGGCGACCTTCCGACAAGCAAAGTCAATGGGGGAAGCCGGATTCACTTAACGACCGTGTGACTAACTTACCAACTGCAGGGCCTCACTTACCAACGGTGGCAAGAAAGCTCGTAAAATGGGGCCAAACTCGCTTAACAACTGAAATTTTGGGCTCCCTTGTGGTCGTAAGTGGAGGACTAACCGTACCTCTTCCAGAGACTCCTTCCGTTGGGCCGAACGTACTCCCTTTTGGCTCTTTCTGAAATCCTGCCACTTAGAAGCGAAACGGGTGTGGAAAGATGTGGGGGGAAAAGTGTTTTATTCAGCCCTTTTTTGACGGGTAACACCTCTCTTCACAGCAATTAGCTGTCCCTCCTTCTGCATAAAACAATAGCAGCTTTTCCATTCGATGCTGCAAAGGTGTTGATTAGCAACATTTGCATTGGAATGAAGACAAAAAAAAAAGAAAGACGCAAAAGGCAGCATCTCTGGGATGTAGAAGGGAGGGAAGAGACTTGATTAATAAATGTTGACAGGGACCACAAACTCATCCGTCGTCCTCTAACCCAGGGCTTTTCAACCTTTTCACCCATTGTACCACTTTTAGGATATGGCAACATCCGAGTACCACCAGTTGCCTAGCAAAGTGTCAAAAACTTGATGACCAAGTGGGGGGTGAGGGGGTGTTTGGTTTTTATTTCCCCCCACCCCCGTCTGCTGGATGGTTGCAGCAGGTTTTGGTCACTTCACATGACCCTGGGACACTGTGACCGTCATAAATATGAATCGGTTGCCAAGCCTCTGAATGTAAATCACAAGACCCTGGAGATGCTGCAATATTCCAGCTGATCGGCGCTTCTGGGCTCAGCAGAAGTGCTGGGATCAATGCTGCTTTCCAGCTGATTGGTGCTTCTTCAGGGCTCAGCAGAAGCACCAGGATCAGCGCCGAGCTCCAGCTGTAGCCTGGCGCTGATCCTGGCGTTTCCGCTGAGCCCTGACAGCCCCGAAGCGCCGATCAGCTGGAAAGCGGCACTGATCCTGGCGCTTCCACAGAGCCCTGACGGCCCTGCAGCTCCAGCCATCTCTCGCTCAGGCTTGTGCGGTGCTGCCACCAGTTCAGCTCATTCCCCTCCCCCGCTACCACTTTTCTAGGATGGTCAGGTACCACCTGCCAGGTGCCAATGTACCACAGGTGGTACCCGTACCACTGGTTGAAAAGCCCTGCTCTAACCAGCTGACCCCGCAAGCTTGTCGGAAGCATAAAACCGGAGTCCGAGCACGTCTCTTGATTTGTCAGCTGTGAGGATCGGCGCCAGGTTATCTTACAGGTGGCATTTATTCTACCAATCCCAAAGAGAAGATCCCTGGTTAGGTGGCCTCCTCAATTCACCAGGATTCCCGCCGTGACCCAGTTATGCCTCTTTTGACGAAGCAGCAACTGCAGTCTTGACGGCCTCCTCAGTGGCAGAGTCACAATCGGATAAAATTAAGCCACCCACGGGAATGTGTTTTGCAGCGGCTTTCCTAACAGCGGAGGTGGTAAGAAAAAAAAAACTGCATTAGAGATTAATCACCCAAGCTAAAATGCGTCGAGAACAGCTAGGATGCTTTGATCCTGAACCATCTCATCCCAATGGGATTGGCCCTGCTCCATTCCTGCTGGAAGAAGGGACGTGCTCGGGGGCCCATTGATTAAGAATCCCAGCTGGCGGGGTCCAGAAGAGTTTTTACCTGCTGTGGCTCCTGCCCTCTAGAACAGGGGTCTTCAAGCTTGGCAACTTTTAAGACTTGTGGACTTCAACTCCCAGAATTGGCTGGCGGAGGAATTCTGGGAGTTGAAATCCACGAGTCTTGAAGTTGCCAGGTTTGAAGACCCCTGCTCTAGAACATTGTGCCCCTCAAGGTGAGATCTGCACCCAACCTCTTTTGCAGGGGTGGGGTTTGAAATCTGCCAATTGGCTTGGGATCCTGATGTGTGTGTGTGTGTGTGGTTAATGGACAGAGAGAAGATCCTATTTCCACCGTCTGTATTTTGCCCCCTCTCTTAGCCACCTGTTTTTAATATTACTATCTTAATATTTTGATGTTTTATACTGCTGTTAATACTTTGTGGTAAGCTGTCTGATGGCAAGAAGGATGGCATATAAATTTAATAAATACATTTTCCGAGGCTCAATGCATTGGCTCTTCCTTGTCATAGCAGGCCATGTGGGTACCTGGTGTCCAACATCGCAATAGCACTTAAGACTTATATACAGCTTCACAGTGTTTTATGGCCCTCTCTAAGCAATTTTACAGAGTCAGCCTCTTGCCCGCAACAATCTGGGTCCTCATTTTACCAACCTCGAAAGGCTGAGTCAACCTTGAGCTGGTGAGAATCGAACTGCTGGCAGTGGGCAAGGTTAGCCTGTAATACTGCATTCTAAGCACTGGGAGGGAGGGAGGGAAGGAATAGTACTTAAGACTTATATACCGCTTCACAGTGATTTACAGCCCTCTCTAAGCGGTTTAGAGTCAGCCTCGTGCCCCCAACAATCTGGGTTCTCATTTTACTGACCTCGGAAGGACGGAAGACTGAGTCAACCTTGAGCTGGTGAGAATCGAACTGCTGGCAGTGAGCAGAGTCAGCCTGCAATACCGCATTCTAACCACTGCGCCACCACAGCTCTTCTTTCGCAGGTTCATACTAAAATTAAAAAGCCAACATTTTGAATGTGCAAAATCCAGCATTAGGTCCCCTGCCTCTCTACTCAAAACTGGAGAGGTGCCGGATGCCTCTCATTTTAAAACTGTTATTTATAGTTGTGATTCGCTGGTCCTAAGATGACTTGATTCTTATTTGGAAGAAGACAGATCTTCCCTGGGAGCATCTCCAGCCATTAACCAGAATCAGATTTTCATACCTTTCAACGGAGTCAGCTGAAAAACAAAAAAAATGCCGGAAGCTCGGAAAAAAAGGCAAAAAGGCTTTGGTTTAAAATGTTTTTAATATAAAAAATTCACCGATGTACAAAAATGCTAAAGTGTGACAAACTCTTCAAAATACTGAGATTAACCTGCCCGTGACACAGCAGTCGTAGAAAACGAAAATGCCAAAATCCAACTCGGATTAAGAAGCAGCGAAATGNGACAAACAATCCCAGGAGAAAAAGGACAGTGTACTGGTGGGGAGAAAAGAACAAGACAGAAATACCTGAAGCATTCCCCTACATTGTTACACGTGCAATGCAGGAATTTCACCGTGAGTTCTAGTCCCACCTTAGGCATGAAAGCAAAAATCATAAAACACCCCAAATGGCACAAATTTAGGCACACGCTTGCCACCTCCGTGGATGGGTTCGCATCCTGCAGTATGCTTTCTTTTCATCTTTTAAGCAAGGTTTCTAGAATAAGCCCCCAGAGGTTGGCTTCAGCACACTGCTAGCGCGTAAGCAATGCGCAAACTAGAATGCGTGGTTCACACGATAGGCTGAGACGAAATGAAAGGAACCAAAGGAGGTTTTGTAGGATGGACGGACGCAAATAGCGACGGCAAACTTTAAACAATGCAAGATTGATGGCTAAAACATGCCTCCGTCCTGGAAGAGTTTAAACTTGAGAAAAAAAATGTTATGGGGGTTTGGTGTGCCTTGTCTACTTTTTTAAAAAAAAGTGTTTTGTTTTGCCTTTAATGTTTAAACTTCAGAAAATTTGGTGTGCCTTATCTACTTTTTTTTTAAGTGGTTTTTTTTTTAAATGTTCTCTGGCTTTTCTCAACCTCCAATCTATGTTCTCAAACCAAACAAAATTCCAAGACCTAGAAAGGCCAGAAGTGGTAATCCTTTGCACCAAACCATCATTGACAGTCAGCTGCCTTCTTGAAGGTGGCTTGGGACCTCGGGTTTCAGCCGGACTTTGAGAGAGACCCTGAACCCACCTGCCTCCATGTATTGCAGTGGTTCTCAACCTTTTTAATGCCACGACCCCAACCGGTCGTAAGTCGAGGACTAAACCGGTCGTAAGTCGAGGACTACCCAACTGGTCGTAAGTCGAGGACTTTCCCTGCCCGGGAGCACCGCGCATGCGTGGTTCCGCCCCTGCGCCAGCCGAGGCGTAGCTGGCAAGTGGCAGAGACGGAGCAGGCCGACCACCAGCTGGCCCAGCCCAAGGGAGGTAAGGCACCCGCCGGAAAAGGGGAAAAAAATGGCGGACAAAAAAAATGGCAGACAGCCTTGCTTGGCGACCCCTGTGAAATGGTCGATTGACCCCAAATGGGGTCCCGACCCACAGGTTGAGAACCACTGATGTATTGTCTGAATGGTGGTTTGGTTTTGCCAGTGCACTGCGTCACCTCAAGAGAGTAAATGAACAAAAAGTCCTACCTTGAATTTAGGGTAATCGTTCATTAGGATGGTTACTATTCCAATGTACGGCACAAACCTAAATCAAAAACAGAGTTATCCTCTTTAGACACTATACTGGCTGAAGCTTCCTGGGCTTATTGATAGCTGGGAAACAAAAAAGCTACAGATGTAGGACTTTTGATAAACAGTGGGGTGCCTCCCTCTTCCCCACATGCAGGTTTTAAAAAAGACCCTCATGGAAACTCAGAAACAATGCATTATACAGAAGCAGGAGAGCCCAAAACCAGAGAACCTAATTTATCCACAAACAAGACTCAAAAGGAAAACAGGCTTTATAAAGAAAACTGACGGGTAAAATCAAAGTTTCCAGGAATAACAACTTTCCAATCTTGGAAATGGGCAGAAACAATCAGAGGGAGATGTCTATCAAGAGTCTGAATCATCCAGGTCAGGGATAGGCAACCTTGGCTCTTTTATGACTCGTGGACTTCAACTCCCAGAATTCCTGAGCCAGCATGGCTCAGCTTGGAAACCTCTCCCTTTCCCCTCAGCATGGCTGGCTCAGGAATTCTGGGATTTGAAGTCCACGAGTCATGAAGGGGCCATAGTTCTCCCATGCTGGCTCGGGAATTCTGGGAGTTGAAGTCCATGTCATAAAGAGGCCTCAGTTCCCCATGCTGGCTCAGGAATTCTGGGAGTTGAAGTCCACGAGTCATGAAGGGGCCATAGTTCTCCCATGCTGGCTCGGGAATTCTGGGAGTTGAAGTCCATGTCATAAAGAGGCCTCAGTTCCCCATGCTGGCTCAGGAATTCTGGGAGTTGAAGTCCACGAGTCATAAAAGAGCCAAGGTTGCCTACCTCTGGCCTAGGCCGCT